AGTATTTAGCTGAAGCCATCAACAACAACAACTGTCAGCTACGCACGTTAATCCTCTCAGTAAATAACATCTCACACATTGGAGCACAGCACTTGGCTGAAGCCATCAACAACAACAACTGTCAGCTACGCACGTTAAACCTCTCAGAAAATAACATCTCAGACATTGGAGCACAGCACTTGGCTGAAGCCATCAACAACAACAACTGTCAGCTACGCACGTTAACCTCTCAGAAAATAACATCTCAGACATTGGAGCACAGCACTTGGCTGAAGCCATCAACAACAACAACTGTCAGCTACGCACGTTAGACCTCACAGAAAATAACATCTCAGACATTGGAGCACAGCACTTGGCTGAAGCCATCAACAACAACAACAACTGTCAGCTACGCTTACGTTATCAATGGAGCACAGTTGAAGCCATCAACAACCTCTGTCAGGCAACCACCTCAAAATAACATCTCAGACATTGGAGCACAGCACTTGGCTGAAGCCATCAACAACAACAACTGTCAGCTACGCACGTTAGACCTCACATACAATAACATCACAGAAGCAGGTAAACAACACGCAAAGAATTTACTTAGCAATAGTCAGTCTAACTGTCGCCTTATTATCTAACATCGCCAATTCACAAATAATTGCTTAATCTGGAAAAAAAGTTAAATAATCACTTACAATTCAAAATGTGAGGCAACCAGCTCAGTGACAATTACAACACAACCACTAAAATCGTGAATGAACGAAAGAAAACAAAGTTTGTGAAGCGCTCAGAGCAGAGAGATTATTTGAACCGGATCGAAATGAAGAAAAATGAACCAATGAACATGTTTATTGAGAACAAAGGATGTCAAAGTGTCTTTTTTTCATACTGTACACAAATTGTAAATATGTAAATCCATTACTTTTCAAAGACAAAAGACTTTATTGTAGGTTAGAGAGACATATATTACGTTACACAATTTGTTTTAAGGTGTATGCAGTAGCTTTAAATATTGGAGTGTTTTTGCACATATTTTTTGCCTGTTACTATTACCATGATGAAATGAAAAACTCTGACAGTTGAGATTTCACTGACTAGTATTTGTAGATAAGAGCAGAACTCCTAAGTTTATCAGATGATTGTTGAATAAATCATGTAAGCAGATTTATTCTTTGTGTTGCTATCAATTCAGCCCCTATGGTTAGACATATCAGACAGAGTAAAGAGCTTTACAAAAAGTTTTGAAACAAAACAAAAATTGGACAAAGGAAGACAATGGGGGTGGGGCAGGGGAAGGAGGGGTTGGTAAAGCCTTCTCAATATCAAACAAAAGTATAAATAATTTATCTGAGAAACATGAACAGCTCAAATAGAGGCTTTTTTCAGCGGTACCTTTTCTTTAGCAGAGATAGCACCCTTCTTAAAATCAACTGTTGCCCTGCCTTAGGTTGAAATACAAAATTATTCCAACCCTATTTTAAACCTAGACCAAAATTCCACACCCTGTCTTAAACCAGAAATAAAACATCTTTAAAAAATTAAATGAAAATAGCTTATTACCTCAAATAAATGCCCAACCAGATATTGAAAATTCTGGTCCAAATTTTCATCATACACAATCATGTTTAGTTTTTTCATAATATGCATGTTTAGTTTTGAGAATTTGGTATTGGATCAACTAATAATCCCCTTCCCCTTCCCCTAGCTGATATTTTCTTCAATCCCATCACTTGTCTGCTTGATATTGTATTGATATTGTAAGGAGAAATTCTGTCTTGGTCACTCATGGGAGTGAAAGGCTTAAAGGGTTAACACACAATGAAAAATTGCTTGACCCTATTTTTAATCAAGCTTCTTTCACAAGTTAACAAATATTCAATACCCTATTTACATGAACATGTGAATCTGTCACCTACTAACAATTTTAATCTTAAGTATTCGTAACAACTATAACCATAATACTTTCTGTTCTCTGAGGCTTATAACCCATTAACTTCCAAGGACTGAATGCTACTTCTCCCTTGCAGCTGCTATACATTTCATTGTAAATTAGTTTTGAGAATTTGAAGTTAGATCAAGATTAAAACTTGAAGGTATTCTCATTACCTTTGTGCTGGAAAATGTATGAATACAACAAGGAGAAGCTACATGTTAATCACTTCCAAGAAGTAAAGGATTAAGACATGCTCATCTGCAATTATTGTTAGGAGTTCTTTGTCTCAATATAAACAAATTGCGCTTTAACTTGGGGTAGAAGAGCACAGAACACGTCATCACAATGGAATGTGCTACACATCAAATTCATCACCTTAGAGAAAAATGTGTAAAAATATGTGATATGTCAGTTAGCTTACTCACAAGCATATTAACTTGGTACATCTAGAAATATGCAAATTAGTCTTTAACTTACATTTATCTCAGTAGTCTGGAAATGTGGAATTCTGGAAATATGCCAATAATTCTTTAGCTAGGTTGCATGTATCTTAACTTGGCAGTCTATAAATGTGAAAATCTGGAAATAGTAAAAGGATATGGTTTTAACTTTGGTTCTAAAAACATTCAATTTTCTTTGTAGCCCACTGTCTTGCTTCCTCTACTTCATTCAGTAAAGAAAGATCCTTAATCTATCAAACACCTTTGTTTTGTTCAATTTCCCAACAGAAACATGGGAGAAGAGAGGGACAAAAGTTCAAAGAGAGGGGGGGAAGAAAAGAGAGGACCAAGAGGGGAGGGGTATGACAAAGGTTACAAAGGTGGTGAAAATGGTGACAATAAAAACAAATATGTTGACCCTGGTAAAATGAAGATCAACTGTACCAATACAACTCAATAGAAAAGGGCTTAGAAATAACAATTACCTCAGCATATATGGTTTGCCCTTTTTCTTGATATCACTTAAATGGCACAATTCACAAGTTTTCTTTACCTCTTGTTTGAACCATTTCAACAGATATGATGCGTGCATGTGTTTTACTGAGCCTGAACCGTAGCACTGAGTTTTAGGGGCTTGTTCCCCTGAAGAGTGATAAATACAGCAGATGCTCTGACTCAGACAGATCAGAATTTCCTGAAAATTCACATTTCCTGAAAAAGAGTAAAGATTAATTTTTTAGTGATTTTTGAGTTATTAGCTGAAATATGAAGTATATGACCCTATGTTGGCATATAAAAAGATATTTATCTTGGATGGGCACATTAGGATATGTATCTTGCATTAATCTGACTTGTGCATCAGGGTATGTATCTCACACTAATCAGATCACAGCAATGAGGTATGCTTGCACCAATCAGAGTGTCACAATACTGTCCCTCATGCCTATCACATCATGAAATTAGGGTACCACAATTTTTGCCTTTTGATTGCTCTTTTTGCAAAAGCTGAAAAGATCACAAAGTTATATTTACTTTCTGCGTCAACTGTCATGTGGACTATCTGTTTATTTTTGCTTTTAAAAGTTCTCCATGCTTCTGTTAGTCATCTTGTGTTTAAAAGGTATTTTCCTGATACAATTACATGTTAACTTGTTGCTATGGATTAGACTTTCTCAGATAGTATGCCATTTTCCAGTAAACAACCTAAATTTTACAACACAACCCCACTCCACTGAAAAAATTTCACATGGAACTAAATGCTACTGTTAGTCAATTTTCCATGTAATTCTCAAGTGCTGAGATATTATCTAGCGATCAAATTCACTTTTAGCTGCCTAGGACTTCATCCCATCACATGTCAATTCCTTCTAGACAGCCTGCATCTTATCGTGTATTCCACACAAATGGGGCAAAGTACAGATAGGCAATTACCAAATAAAGAGCCCATGTTGTTATGCTTTGAAATATGATACTTTTCTCACCACTTTTCTGCACTAATGTTGTTCATTTTTGCTAACTTTACTCTCCATTTAACAATATCTTCATCAGAATCTTTCATAGGTAAATACTCTTTTTCTTTTACAAAAATGCAAAAATCAGTTGCTTAGTTTCCCATTTTGACCCAGCCATCAAAAAAAAAAAATTCTCTTGCATGCATAGCATGCCTATGTTTTAAGAATGTCCTTGTCAGTAACTAATATCAACAGTGAAAGAGTATTTTTGGACAAAAATAAGGGGTGTTTCAGCTCAGGGACAGTACTTGAAGTGTTACCAAGTGAACAATTTTGCCTTTCACTATCCCTACCATCAAATGGGAGGCCTGTCCAACAAATTAAGAATTAAAACACAACTATCATACCTTGTGGCTGACAAAGATAAATGCTATAAAGTGGTAACTATGGTATTCTCTATTTCCTTTCTTCACATTTTCAATTTGTTTTTTCTCTTTTTTTATTCTTCTTTGGTATTATTCTTTAAGGAAACAAAAAATCTTAAACCACTGCCTATGGTTAAAATCAAGCAGAGGGTAAAATAGTATGCTAAATATTTAACTATCATAACAACACTCCTTAGTATGACACACTGCACAGCAATTGGAATCATCATTTGTATGAATGTACTTCTGACTTTATGGGTCACTGTGGTAAGACTAAACTCTTAAAGATTCCCTGCCTTTTTGTAGACATACCACTAAGCATATCTATTTCCCAGAGAAAACTGGAAAACTAAAATACTCCTAAACTCCACCAACTTGGGGAGGACGTTGGTTAGGAAGAGGAACAGGGGGCTGGTTTCACTTTGATATTCACAGGTGACTCATAATTCTCAAAAACTGTCTCACAATGTCATTGGGAAATCATCAAAAGAATAATTTACAGGCCTGTTAACAGCTTCATCATCTGGAAAATTAGCCTAATGCTCTTTGAAAAGTATAAAGCTACTAACTACTGGAGAAGCAGAACTGGGAGCAGCAGAAGCTGAGGGAAACGTGGGGGGGGGGGGGGGGGTCAACAACTACACATTCAAATAAAACTATCATTCAAATGGAGTAAAATTATCACGTTCAATACGAACATACTGATCTACTGCGAAAAATAAAGTTAATCTTGATCATTCTTGAGGATATACATACAAAAATCAAGGTTGCTATGTTGAATTTGTACCAGATAAAAACATTTCACTCACTAAAAGCTGCAGACTCTTCCTCCGGCAGCTCCTCGTCGTCACCACCTTCTCCTTCCCTGAAACATCAACATGACGATGTTTTCGTTCCGCTTGTTCCTTGGAGTTAACTAATACAAAATAAAAGTCAGTCTATGACTTCACGTGCATCTGTTGTATAGTTAAGGGGAGTAAAACGCACAACTGTGAGAACGTTTGATGAGGCAGCTTTCACGTTCAAATCAATAACAATATCAACATGCAGAGGTGACACCCTGAAAAACATGATTCCGAAGAGCGTTGGCCAGTGTCAGGGCTGAACCAGGACGAGTCACAAGAGATATGATTTAACGAGTGTCCCACGATAATTCGCCATTTTGAAACCGTGAGGGGCTTTGAGACGAAAATAACCACCAGCTGCTGGTACACTTTATGATACATACACCACCTATTACAGTGGCCCATCATTATGGCGGAAAGAACGCATTTTAATTTGGTCAGCATTAGATTCCATCCACCAAAACCACCTCGGTCGAGAGGGACTGAGATGGAATATTTAATGACTTGCAAAACATAACCGAAGATTCTCGGAAATCCGCAAGTGATGTAGCCGAACATCAAAAGCTGTAAATCCCATGATTCTTGAGGAACAAACAGAAACAGCATAGCGAGAATTTTAAGTCGCGAACCATTGATGGTAGACATGCAGATAATTTAGGATACGTAAATTCTGTTGATGCGGCGCATAAACTTATTGCGGAATTTGAAACAGGATTGACGACGAAGTTTTCTTTCTTTAAAGCTGTCAAAGGATTCGGGAACACATATATATATTGATATAGCTCTTTAGCATTACAAAGCTTTGCTATCGCTATTGTGCATTCTCACTAGTTTATCTAGTTCAAGTCCTCTGGCATGGCTTGGATGATACCACAATTGTGGAATCACTCGGGTTAATTTAATGCTTACACCTCCTTCCTCGGACAGAAGTCACAAAATACTGGGAGAAGATGCATGAGATATTTAAGGAGCAAAAATTCGTTTTTTACTGGTGTGCCTTTCCTAATTTTGGGAAGGAAAGTGTTCAATTGCCAGCACGGCATAGATAGAACAGCTGGAGAGAAAAGGAAACGAAAAGATGCAGAAGAAGTACTGTATATAATAATTTCTTTTTATCCTCAACCTTTGTGTTTCTGTCAACTATGGCTTGCTAATTCGAAAAGTCAAATACTTGAATGGGTCATATGACATTGATCTCAGAATACTTTTATGACAAACGTGATAACAGTTCAATCTTGGCTAAATTGAAGATGGTTTAGAAGTTAACAATTATAAGAACTTTTCACTAACATATGCTGCTGACAAAGGAGAAAATATATGCAATTCTGCATTTTTTGCTTTCTATCAAGCAATCATATGTTTGCTCCTTATCACGCTATGACACTTCCGTTTTGTCACATTCCAAAAAATAACTTGAGAAATACACTGTCACTCATCTTACACTGTTATATTTACCTATTACAGAAGGCTGGAAACAAAGGTTTTGTTTTCAAGAAAATAAGATTTCTTGTCCAAGACACAAGGAAGTTTGACTGCAAAGCACAGATAAAAATGCAAGAAATTTTATTTTTTTCAGAGAACAAGGTAGTTCTACTCATGTATAAACAGAACAAATGCAATTTAATAAATCAGATATGCGGCATGACTCCTTTTCTTCCATCCCCACTCAAAACAAGCAAACACACCTATAGAGGTTCCAGTCTGGTCTGCAAATGAAAAGGAGGAAGGTGATCACTGCAAAATTAAGCATTAGGGTTCTTATTTATAACATATTGATTATTGTATACTGATATCTAGAAATTAAGGTTGCAAGTAGCAGCCAGCTGAGTTATAGTTTGAGTTTTATCAAGTCCATTACTTTGTTAAATTTAGAGTAACCTTGTCTTGAGAGAGGAAAATTGAGGAGCTGTAATATACTTATCATCAATTAGGGACCACAAAGAAAAATTTATCTATAGAGACTTTTGAAGGAGAGGGGTAAGACTTGTGACAAGCTGGCAGACATATAGATAAACTTTACTGCTAAATGGGTTACAATACAAAGTGCTCAGTATTTGGATCAGCTATGGCTCAACTTAAACTTTGCTTTAGTTTCAAGTTTAATCCTTTGTGGTTTCCTTTCTCTGTGTTTATTTTTCACGTTATGTACACAGAAGAACACAAAAATGACAAGGAATGCTTTTGAATATTAAGAGGCTGGAATAAGCAAGAAACCAAAACTGAATTTTAAACAGTACAAAGTTAATTTGATCTTCCAATGTTATTTAATTTTAACCATTAATAGAATTTGCTATTTAAATTTATCCCCTCCATTTTTCTGGATATTGTGAGCAAAAACAAACAATTATCACAAAATGCATGGTATACAATGGTTTGATTCACCAATGTGGCAAAGGCCTTTCACTGTCTATCCATAAAAAGGGAAATAGTTTGTAAAATGTAAGACATTCTGCATCTTGAGCATATACTTATTCATCCATGTGAAATTAAAGGTTACTTGAAATAAATGTATGTTGATTTTTGATAACAATTACTAATGTGCTGATTTGTTGTACTTAAAGGTTATGATTTTAGCGGAAATAGTGGAAGAAATTTCTGGACCTGGAATTTTGTTGCAAATGTCTGTTTAAATCAGTTAAAAACTCTCCTGTTTCAAGATTACATGATTACCACACCAGAACCTTTTGTATTCTATATTGTGCACCATGTTATGATTATGGTTTCAATAATAAAAGGTGCTGACTCAAGAACTTTGCAAAATATCTCTACATAAAAAGAAATAGATTGTGGTTATGTACTCCAAATAGCAGGTCACATCAGTCTTCTGTAAGGAAGTAGCAGTTGTATGGTGGTTTTGGTGGATGGAGAGAAACATCCACCAAAACCACTTTATGTGTGTTAAGAGTTATGATAATCATTATGAACGTTTGGTCGGTCATTGTTCAAAAAAATAAAGCCAGAGCACTAACTGCTAATTAGTGGTATAAATCTTTTGTCTCCCTGAACATCTAACAGTGGCTATAGATAAAATTTTAAAAATATATTGTTGATGGTTTTGGTCAAAGTTTTAGTGGATGTTCCCTAATGAACCAAGACGAGTAACACACCTTTTAAATACGTGAAATATTTAATTGCGTAAAATGTTTTATAATACTACAATCGAACAATTTAATACTTACCATTTCTGACGCAATTTCCCAAACAAATGATACACTTAGGTCATCGGGATAAGTCGGCATGTTGTCGTAGCTTCGTAATTTTCATTTAGTATAACAAGTCATGAGTTGTCCATCATTCCATCTCAGTCCCTCTCGACCAAGGTGGTTTTGGTGGATGGAATCTAATGCTGACCTTTTAATTTTATCACATTTTGTAAAAAGGAGCAAGTATATTTCTCGGCGCTGACATTCATTCTTCCATAGCTCTTTTCTTTTGTTACAACGAGCATATCAGACTTTCCCGGAGAATCGTGATCGTGTGGTATTTTTGTATTTAATTTTTTTAATTCACACCGATCTATTTTCGATATTTCTTTTTTTTTTTAGGAAGCCCAAAGTCACGAGGAGGATCCCCCAGCTACTGCTGGTCGTGCAAGAAAAAGAGAGTCCTTTTTTTGTAAGTTTTATATTTCACGTGTGGGAGCATGATTTTTTTTGTTCAGCTTGTAAGCTGTTGTATATGAGATTTTCATTTTCTATTTTCTTTCAGGAGGCGTTTGAGACAGACTCAAGCAAGCGCAACCAGATGGATAGACAGTACATGAAGTCTATGCAAACAAAAGTATTTCAGTGTTTCCTTTTTTTAATTTTATATTTTTGTTTTTATATTTATTTATTTATTTGAATTTCCCAATGTAATTTAACAAGACTTTAAATAAAAATTGTTTTTTTAAGCCCATGATATCGGGGTTGAAATTGTTTGTATCTACATCCCTAACAATGCAGTACCTCTGGAATTTTTTTTATTCTAAACTAGCCCTACCTTCCTTCCTTCCTTTCTGTCTGTCTGCTTGGCTTTCTTCCTCTATTTTTGCTCTATTTCTCTCTTTTTGCTTTTAGATGCAAGAATGGTATGCTAGGACTAAGCTGTCAGCACTTTGCTTTGCATTTTGGTAAGGCCAGTTCTGGATTGCAACAGGTTTAATGCTTTGACAGTTTAAGGCACTGATTGATGTTATTTATAGCCCACAGTATATTTTAAGTCTTGGAAGATATGGAACATTTTTCTGATTTCTCATTCACTTCTCTATACAAGTAATACTTATTTTAACTGGTTTAATTCATTAAATTCTGAGTGCATTTTAGCATCATTTTGCTTTGCATCTGTTATAAGTACTTTATTTTGTTAGTCTAGTACCCACCTTTCTGCTTCCAGATTTTAATTTACAGTACAATACAGTTTGAATTTTTATTTCCTATAGTGCAACAAGTTTAAGCTCAAGAAATGGCAGCTGATGATGACATACCACCAGAAGACCCTGTGCAATTTAGAGTAGTAGATCTGAGGAAAACAGTAAAGAAATTTTAGCAAGCAAACTGGATAAACAGTTCATTTTTCACAAATGCAAACAGTTTTGGGGGTGATGTACTTAAAAGGCTATGCAATTTGTCTATTCTAATCATACAACACACAATTTTGTTTCTTTAAAGTGCTAAATTGAGTAGTAATGCAGTTGTTAAATATAAAAATTTAAGCACCCACTGTCAATTTTCCCATAAATTTGCAGAATATATATGGTGTATTTTCATGTCAGGAGATCTGAGCCTGGATGGGGGAAAGAAGCATGCAGACAAGTTTGGTGGCCTGAAGAAGTTGAGCTCACAGATGTAAATAAAAGCAGCAAGCGACCACATCTGGAGGATTTAATTTCAATAATGCATTCATACAGAAATTGGAATCAACAACAGCACCCTCAAGAGGTTGACATCACAGTCTAGATGATTCTGCTCACAGTCCTGTGATTCCCATTCCTGTATCATCAGCACCAGCTTCTGCTTTTATTTCTGATCCTCCCTCATCTGCCCCTGAAGTTTTTGCAAGCCCCATTTGTCCTCCTGCTCCTTCATCAACACCTGCTGTCACCACTTCCATTTCTGATCCTCCCTTTGCAACTCCCAAAGGTCACATTCTGCCTTCTCTTCTATTTGAGGACATTGTTGAGAGGAAATTTGGGAGTGAATCAGTTTACTGTGGTAATACGTGGCAATCTGTACTGCAAACCTGCAGTGAACTGAATCAGATCCAAACATCAAAGATGCCAAGTATTCTAGGAAAACTGAATGAAGATGTAAGCTTCCTGTTATTAATTGAACTCCTTCTTTTTGTTCATTACTTTTTTGTGCATGTATGTGTGGCAAACAAACATACTATTTCATTTATTTATTTCACAATTTAATCTTGTCTAGGATGCAAGTATTTTGTTTTGAATTTACCATTCCTGAACATTCTCTATGTCATTTCATCAGCTGTCAGCTAAAGTTTTAATACCAGTTGTTTAGCTAGAAACTTGTTAAGGGGGCTATGTCCAAGCAGTTTGGTCCTACTAACTCCAAAAGGTGGATATTGTTTGTTTAAGGGTCCACTAATGCCAGGCCAATTCCAGCTCTTTAGTGTGATGTTCAAAAAGTTTTTTTTCAACTTGATGATTAGGGTTGGGGCATTTAATGAGGAATCCATCATGAGGGCAAACAATCATGAGAGTTAATTAACAGCCTTTGACTATTAATATTAATGTTTTTTTGTTTACCAATTTGTGATCTACCTATTAATGCAAGGTGTTTTTTCCTTTCCTAGACTGAAATCCATACAATCATAAAGCCCCAAATTGCAAGGGACATTTTAGGGTGCATGGTCAGATTGCCTTGGGAGGTGACCTTAAATTTATCTCCTCACAGTCTGGAACATCTCCCGAAGATCTCTTCACATCAGTTTAACAGCAGTGAGAATCAGCGCAGACTTCCTGAGCAGTAAAAAGTTCAGTAAGAGTTATTGACTTGGAATGATTATCATCATCATTATTATAATTACTATTATCATTATTTTCATTTATAAATTTTATTGTATTGGTTGTTATTAACTTTATATTCTATTGCTTTTAGAGATTTTCCAGCTATGTTGACCAGTCCATTTATGAGCTTGGTCTGGAGCCCTTCTACTCAAGTGGGGATGGAAACTGCTTTTATAATTCATTATCCATACTCATGTCTGAACATGAAAGTGACAGTGAATTTTTTGGACTGGGTGCAGCAATGTATGGTCTTGCTCACCATGACCACATTGTTGATACAGTAAGAACAATCAGTTATTTTTTGTTATGTTTGCTAAGCTTATTAGTGTACAATTTTAACGTCCTTGTTTTATGTTTTAAGTGAACTTTAACAGAGGTTTACCTCTGGATCTCCTTTTCAAAGCTGAGACTGAGGCATAATAAATCAATCTTAAATTAATCTTTGAAAATTCATTTATTAGTTCTTTCTTTAGGTGCTTGTTTATGTGGTTGCTTGTTATACAGAAATATTTTAATCCAGCTGTTAGAGAAATTTGCTACTTTGATATTCTCAGATTACTTAGCAAGCAATATAAGGTTGTGGTTTTTTTCGTTATCCTCTAAACACTAACTGCCATTCATGTCAATTCATTTCTTTTCATCAACTTCATTTGTTTCATTGACTGCTTGCAAAACCCAAAATCCTTTGATCACTTTTGATAATTACACAATGATTTTTTGTGCACATGGTTTTCAATCATATTTGACAACTGTCCAATAAACTAATATTTGTAGTAGATGGATAGATAGCTTTATTAAAAATCCCATGGCAGCCTAATAAGGCTGAATTGCATGATTATTTACAATACAATACTGGCTAAAATTGTAGGAATAGTAGTCATCTCAGTGTCGTGTTAACCGTTCCTGTAGTTACTTATAACCCTCTCTTTAGAAGTAACTAAACTGCATTTTGAAAAATTATATTCCGTTCGCAATATAACTTTAAAAGGAGTTACTTTGTGCTTCTGTCATATCTCTTTTTACAGAATGCGTGGCATTTTAGTGATAGAGGCGATGCTTTGTAGTGGGCAGCCAGTGTGAGCCTTTCACCAAACGAGGTTCAGGAAATTAAAGGCAAATCCATTCAGGAAATTGTCGCAAAAAGTGTCCAAAGCCAAGTCTTCAATGCCTTAAAGAATTTTACTGATATTGGTAACTAACTTGTTACTTGTTCGTTTTAAGGACTGGCTCACATTCTTTTGAATCAATTCCACATCTTTATCATCTTATTACAACCAGTTATCAGCTCGTTTCTCCAGGCAAGTTGGCATTACAATACTGACATCCGCATTTTTTTAAAGAACTCTTACAGGTAACCTTTGCTGCCGGCTTTTTGAAGAAACCAATACAACAGCACTGCGAACTGTCTGGGGCTGTATGGTACAACACAAAACAAAGTCCTCCTTGTTGCTTCCAGCCAGACAGGGAAGAGGGGCCTTTTCACATCATCTGGCTGCCACTTACAGGACAAGGAAACACCTTCAACCATATATGCCTCCTTCTGCCGTGGAAGTGTGGTGCATTAGATGCTTTCTTGTGCGTTTTTCAGGCGAGGATTTAACACCCAACTTTCAAGTCGCAATGAGATGGTGCAGTGCCTTACCTGCTTTGAGTGCTACCACTGCGTTTGTTTGGGCATTTCTTTCGAAGAGGCCAAGGATTCCACCATAGTGGATTGTGGCTGCACGTTGCCCCACCCATATCGGAGCCACGACATGTGAGTGTACAGTGGAATCCCTATTGTTCGAACCTCCTGATAACTCGAACCCTTGAAATGCTGTTTCCCTTCCCTCAGTCAAACACTGTAACTTTACACCGATTCCTAAAGCTACCTTATTATTTGAACAAAGTTTTGTTTATCTTGAATGTTAGAAAAAATCTTGATTCCACTGTACTTTCTCTGTTTTGTTTTGGCTCGTTTATAATGTTTTTAAACTTAGCGTTCTGTTCATTTTATCCATTATATTTTGTAGATCGGTGTACTCAAACCAAGGTAGCATTCTACGGTTTCTAGCGAAGGCATATTTGAAGGTTTGTACGTTAACGATACACTTATTATAAAGAATTTATCAAATCTAAATTACGGGTTAAAGTTTGTATTGCTTCCTTTCATTTTCAGACATTAACAACAGAACTCCTAATTAACAAAAGTATACATTAAGGTTGGCACTGAACACCAAACATCGTCTTTTGTTGCACCGAGACTTGATGAGGTTGGTAGCAACTGGACCCCTCGGAGTACACGCGGTAATTCCATTTGGAGATTTAAAAATATCTGAACAAAAAAAATTGCGATACTTAGAATCGCTTGTAGGACATCGACAATTACTGATTGTGTGCAGGGACAAGTTGCTTTGCTACGTAATTTCGTTTTTTCAGTGTTCTTTAAAAGATGATTGTTTAAATGCCATTATTCCGCATAACGCAAAAATAAATATGCTCGCACGGCCTTAGTTTAGTTTAGTTTCGCGATTTTCGGCTATCATGGTACACAACATGCAGGGTGTTTAAAACTAACAAAAAAGTAAAGCGACCTTTGCGTTTTTTATCTAGTGCTTATTGACATTATGATCCTTTCGTTTTCAAACAAACAGGCCGAGCGCATGACAGCAGTTGCAATGCCTATCATTGCTTCACTTACGAAAGACCTTTCCTTACAGACCCGCCTCTTTATGGATGTGATGCTACCAGAAGTATTGTATTTGAAATTGTTTCTAGAACGGCACGGCTTATGGGTTAGTATCTGAAGACTTATCATATTTTAATCTTTCAATTATTTAACGCGACTTTTCCAGCTTAAAAAAGGGAGTTTTTGATGACAAGCCTCATCTGTGACGGTCACCTCCAAACTTGCCCAGTGTTTTATATGTAACTTTTTGGGTTGACAGGTTTCCAGTATTCTATATTTCCAGAGGGTGTACACTGCAAACCGTTTTTTATTTAGGAAGTTATTTTAAACCATAACTGCCTAAAAAGTTCATGCTTTTTCTTCTTATCTTTCAGAGCATAATCAAGTTCATCATGGAAAAAGAGGATCTCAATTATTTTAGAGCTTCAATTTTCTTTCAAAATAGTCTTGTTTCGGCAGCAACTTCATAGATAGTTTTAGGCTCACTTTGCTAAACATAATTGTCGGTTTTATTACACCATCATGACGCACCACATATCAAATTGTGGTCAGCAATGCATTGGCGAAAGTTTTGATCCAGGTGCTTCAGGAAATTGAATCCAGTCCGCTCTTAACTTCGCGTATTTTATCGTGTACTTTCTTATGTTTGATACAAATAGTGCGGTGGTTTAGTTATATATTGAAAACCCTTAATAACAGGAATAAATTTCAAGAAAATGATACAGTTATTGGTGGTTATACGTCTTAAGTTATTTAAAATGAAATAATTATTAGGTGCTACACCAGGTCACTTCTCTAAACCAACGAGAAAAATTCCTCATCTTCAAGCTTCCGATACGATGTACCTTTTCTGTGCTTAAACGATGACGAGAGCTCTGACACTTTCACGACTCAAAGCTGCAATAAGCTTGATGTTGGGAAGCAAGTTTCGTTAGCTGTTGCCTACTTGCATAATTTGAAACCTCCTTTGCTTCACAGAGACATAAAACCTGCCAATGTGCTGGCAGCTGAGAAAACTCACATCACAAAGTTGTGCGACATGGGTTTGAGCAAACTGAAGTCCGCGCTATCCCTTACTCACACGATTAGCTCAGCAATCCGAGGAACTCCCTCTTACATGGCCCCCGAATGTCTGCTTGAGAGGAAGAAAGCAGCAGTCCATTCAGATGTCTGGTCATTGGCATGTACGCTCGTTGAACTTTTCACCGAGATGGAATGTTGGGAGCAACTGTTGGAAGGTAAGGAAGCAGCGGCTGGAAGGAAAAGTGATGATTTCGACAGCGACGTTGAGTCACTTATTGCCATCATGAGGAAGAAAGAATGCCCGCGCTCACTAGAATTCTTGCCAGACACAGTTGGTGCTTCCCTTCGGGGTATTCTCGTGGACTGTTTCAAGTATGAAACAAAAATGAGGCCAAGAGCTATTGACCTTGTAAATGCATTTTCGTAAAGGTTCTTAGAACTCACCAGTCAGTGTGAATAATGCTTGTAGCAGTTTAACCGTTTAAATATTTTGTTAATTTTTCAACAATGAAATGTTTCTGTTCAAGGACACAACTAAGGCTGTTAGAGTTTAGTTGAGGAAGGAGGAGTATTAGGAAAGTCTAGGTGTTGTTTCATCGACACACATGAGTTAGTTGAAATGGCGTAGTAGGCAAGATGTTGAGTGATCTGTTATAAAAATGCCATATTCATTCCTCGGCAATTCCCCACCGTTCCTCCTCTCCTCGTCTGGCCTGCCTTTAAGAAGGCATAATTGAACAACATGTTTTGACGAGTGTGGAATCTATATAATAATAAGCTTCAATTATGACTACTCAAGCACAGTGAGATAATTAAGAGGTTCTAGTCGGAAAACAAAGTAGGCGGCGTCATTCCATAATTTTCATATATTCCGGGACCTTCTTGGCAATCAACATTTTTGACGCTATCGTTGATATTTTTAGTTAACACTCGAAGATTTTGTACATTATCGATCGATAGACTAACTGACCATTCAACATTAGCATCAGTGTTAGTACAATTTACAACTTTATGTCCTGTTATAGTACTATTACAGTTATGTTCTAGTTATGACAAGTTATTCTCTTTCGGACATCCTAACGAAAAAGTACTTGAAATAGCTTTGTTACGGGACATGAAAATGCCACATACGGACAACATAATTTAAGTAATGAAACTGTTGCTTTACCTTTACTTGTTATGTGCTTTTCCCACACTAGTCAACACGCAAGACGAGGGGCGAATGCTGGTAAAATGCGGCGAGAGAAAACCACAACGGTCGGAGTAAGTCATCCATTTTAAGAAATTGGACAATCTCACAGTACAATTTAAGAGCCTCGCGTTCAATTAAACTATAATCTGGTTTGATTAATCTCACTAGTTCTTCTAAATCCTTGTTATGTTCGACACAACTCTCAGCATACATTTCTTTGCAAAGAGTTACATCCTTGATGTCCACATTTATCAAGTAGTTGTGTGACTAAAACCATTAAGGATCAGGGACTTTTCGCTCACCGAAACATAACGACGCACATTGACGGACTTAAAAAATTTTTTCACCTCCTGAATACTGAAGACTGAATTAAGACTAAGGACAGAATTCTGTAGTGAGAAGTATGATTTCGTGAAGTGTAAAGCCTCAAGTCTTAACTCTTAAGTCATATTTTATAAGTCTGAAGTCCCTTCTCGGCTTTCGTAATGACACAACATCATTTCTCCCGATGGAAACTCTGACCATTTTGTTTCTAATCGTCTTCGCTTTTGTCGATCCCCCGGTTTGTAAAGTACCATCTAATCACAAATCCTTTGCGGAAACGTCATACAAGGTGTTACGTCGTGACTGTTTAACTCAACCTTTTAGCTTCCAGTCCTCCATTAGCTTTCCGATTTTGGTACCCAGTCTACCTCAGCAAGCTTCAATGTTTTGAATGATTTTGAATAGTTCACGTCGGCGTCTGTAGATCGATGGCAAAATTTCCAGTCAAATTGTACGTTTACGACCTCTCTAGAGGTATGGCAAGACAGCTGTCACCTTTTATACTTGGTAAGCTCGATAATAATAGAAGACTGCTTATTTTATTACGCGAGAAATATCCCAGCTGAAATATCTTTTTAATTTTGTGTTTCGCACTGTGACTCAGCAAAGATGCGACTGTTAAACACTTAATCCTTTGGAATAAAAGCCCAGAGTTACTAAGTTTTAAAATTCAGGGAATATTTTAAGGGCAAATTAAACATTTATCCGACCTCATCTTTTTAATTACAACCGAGCTGTCAGGTCTGTTTATTTGGTATGTAGATGTGATACCGAGCCAGCTTATTACATCTTAGTCTAACATCTACATATACATTTATTAAGGTGGTGAAATCTGTACAGACATCACACCAACTATTAGTTATTTTTTCTGCACTTGTATCCATAGGCAAGCAAATCGATGGCATCTGGTATGTGCTTATCTTTTTCTGAATAGAATATTGGGTGATTTTTTGCATTCCTAGCCTCGAATATATTTAAGATTTTAACTGTACTGTGTGCTCTGTTAATTATTCGCATCGGTAGTATGATTTTGATTTATGATTTTCAGTTCCCTTGGCCCATGACCTAACTATTCGTAGAAAGTTTTAAATGGCTATGAACAAGGAGCATTGCTTGGTTTGAAATGTTTGATCAGAATCAATCATTTTAAGCATTGTAGACACTGTATAATTACCTTTTCCAATTTAGTCCTGACAAAGATTATCACTAAGATCTGAACACGAATTCTCTCAACATGTAACAGTAAATCAATTTGATTTTGGCTGTTCCTAAGAATTTGTTGCAAATCAGGCCAATATGTTGATAATTGGAGAGATTGCTTCAGTATGACCTCAGAGCCTCAGAATAGATATGACTTTCAGTAATCTTGTTGCTTGACTACTTAGTGTCATTCTACAATTAATTGCAAGTGATCACATGTATGTATTTTTTTTGTTTGTAAATTAAATTTACTTTTTGTCTTATTCAGGACCAAGTGTGGAGTTAAATGCTGTGTTATTTTCTTTTGCCTTTTTTTTATTATCTTTTAATACTTCTTTTAGGCATACAGGCCTGGTGTGTTATGATAGGGAGTTTTTTTATGGCGGTGACGGAATAAACAGTTGTCTCCCAGTATGTAATATCTTAATCTTTTCTCTAACTACAGTAATTCAAGAAATACTGTAAGGTCTTGAAGTAAATCTGGACTCCTGGTTCAACTCTGAAATCTGAACAAGACATTATTAATTTCTGGTAGCATGACTGCTACAGCTTTCTTTTCTCTTTTACTTGTACCATAGGTTACTTTCTACTGATTGAAACAATTTCTTTTTTTTGTCAGGGTGGAACAATTCTTGGTAGTCCAGATGAGGTTGTTGATCTTGGTGATACAGAAATAACTCAAGATCTTTTCATTGATTTTTTAAGTGCTGTTGGACAAGAAGATTTTAGGTACATAGTGATTCACTTTATGTCCTTCTTTTCAGTAAACTTGCAAGTAAATGAAGCTCTCTTTACAAAGCTGTAGAAATCACTTAACACTCATTACTAACTTTTTGTTTTGAATTGATTATCAGAGGAGAAAACTATAACTTGTTTGAACACAACTGCAACACCTTCTCATCAGAAGTGGCCATGTTTCTGACTGGGAATAAAATACCACAACATATTCGAGACCTTCCCTCAGAAGTTCTGAACAGGTAAATGTGTACAATAAACAACTATTACTAACAGTAATGATAGAATCATTTTTATACAGTATGCAAGTTGATTTGTTGACACAGGACAGCCTTATGTTTGAATCAGTGACCAATAGTGGTGAAGATCTCAGACCTTGAATACAGGGAAAAGGGGCAGGAAGAAGGGTGTATATGAAGAAGTGAAAAAAAATTAAGTAGTGTGGTTTCTACTGTTTGTGGGAGGGAGCATTGATTGGGAGCCTAATGGGGGTGTAATATACAGCTGGGGGTCGAAGGATACTAAGAATTTTGACCATGTGGCAGGGTAATTCTTGTTTTATTTTTTTGCAATGGCTACAGTTTAGTCATGGTAGATTCATTCTTAAAAATTAATATATTTTTTGGTGATAATCAATAAATAACTGTTGAACTGAATTTTTTTTAGTTCATTTGGTCAGATGATAAGACCCATGATAGACTCTGTATCTGTGAGGCCTTCAGGAGGCACGTCAATATCCCCTACACCATCAACATCAACATCAAGAGCACCAGAATCAATATTTGAGCCAAGAAATGGTCCCCCTGGAAAGACTAAGCAAAGGGAACCACCAGATGGCTGGTAATTGGTCTATTAGATCATGATAAAAATAATTGAGAAACTACTATTTATTTTTGGGCTTGAGAAATAACTTAAGCTTACTAAAATTAACATTTCTACAGTTACCAAATGACTTTGCACAGATACATGCACCCTAAGCAAAATTATGGTTTTTAGGGTGTGTTTGCTGATGGAGTTGTTAAAAATTAGAGGAATGGAGGGAACAAATTGTTTATCCACAGCTCTCTGGCTTGTTTCTAGAAGTGTTGCATCATTCTATTGAACAGCTTCCAAACCAGCAACTATGCAGGTTAAGTTATAAGTTTGTGCTCACTGGCATGTACAGTTGCTAAGGTATTGGATATACACAATGTACATAGCACATGTTGTAGGTGGACCGAGGTTATCCTAAATTTCTTAAAACTTTTATAATTCCTTTATATGTAATATCTAACCTAAAAGGAATTTTAAGAGGTATTTCAAACCTTAGATCAGATGAAAACGCGCACATATACCCAACATGTACATCAATATTTTTAAAAACTCCAATTCAAAACCTGTCAATTGCACTTGACAGAATCTCTCATGACCTTATTTAAAATCATTGATAATTAATAATTAGAATTACTTTTTACAGACTGAGTAAGCTTGATTCTAGGGCTAATACTGTTATACTAATAACTATTTAAGATTAACAAATAGAGTAAGATTATCATTCACCAAATGAAGTAACTTAATAGGAACTTACATCTGTTCTGTATTTATTTATTTAATATATATATATATTTTTTTTGGCTCAAACTCTAGTCAAGGTGCCATATCAAGGAACCCTAATGTTTATAAGGATGTTAAGGTAAGTTTTAATACAATATGATGACAAAAGATATATGTTCATATGCTGTGCACCAAGTTTTTAAATGAAAGTATACTGCTGGTTATTTTGGATGACCACACATATATTTGTTTGTCTCAAAAGGGCCCATTATTGATATCTGATCTGAGAGAGTGTTTGAAAAGAATGGAATTGTCAGATGAAGATCTAATTTACCTTGATGAACTTAAAAGATGCTTTGAAGCTGAAAACCTTTCAAAAGTGAATGAGAGCCAGATTCAAAAATTAGGTAAGTTATATTTTGCAATAGGTTTTGTACTGAATTGAGCCACACTGTAAGAATAACCAGATTCTTTGTCTTCTACAACTATCAAACCCCTCTTTTATTTAAAAAAAATATTAATATCACTTCATTGGGCAATAAAGTACTTTATTCAGATATCAGTGATGATCTACATTCCTATTAATTAAATATTGATTTTTTGTCCTTCAGATCAGCTTATTGATAAATACCTGACAGAGGAAGGCAGTCAGGCACTACATCTCACTTTAAAACTTCTGCAGTTGTTATCACAGTGTGAAAAATTGTTTTCATCATCCAAAGGTGAGATGATTGACATAAAATTGATATTTTGTTAACTAAGAACATATTCCATCCCATTTTCTAGTACTTCTATGTTTTTACAATTATTCTCTCTTTTATAATTAGCATATGATACCAGCATGCAAACATGCATTGTAAATTGTACGTGAATTGTTACAGTATCAGGCAAACCTGTGTCTCTGGGTTAATTTTTATGATATGAAGAGGGAGGACAATTTTTGAGTATTACTCTGTGCTGAGTCCATAAATGTTATGTACTTGTTTTATCATGAACAGGACTACAGGAGACTGTAAAAAAGGCCTGTGGGAGTTTCCCAAGCATTCCATCTTGTGCAACCCAAGTTGAGTGCATCAAATTGGTAAATGAAACATATTATCATAAATGATATTGTTCAGGTCTTGAATTCGATAGAAGTCCGAGTCAGAAATTATCAAATTTTTTATGAATATCATAGTGTTAGCCAAAGTTGTGTTTTGTTTCATTTTGCTACCTTGATGATACATTTTTTCTTTCGTGGCAGTTTTGCTGTGCTATCAGCCATCAGTCTGGTCACTCCTCCTTGCTTGGTGACAGTCACCCCACACCTCTTCCTTCTGTGACAATCAATTGTCTCCTCAGCAAAGATTCGGAACTCCAAACTGTCGGAGCTGCTTTAGTTTCCAATATCGCAAGACTAAAGGTACTTGCGTGTTCAGTGTGTATTTTATTATAATCAGCACTCCAAGTTGCAACCATTTTGGTTGCTAGATTTTCAGCGAAAGTAGTCAGCCAAATGGCGGCTTGAAAACCTTGGGTTTGGACAACTGGTGACATCTGTTTATGATCTTTGTATAGCTACGTGCTTCTCAGTGGTCTGTCTTTTCATTTAGTCGTTCATTTTTTTCGTACATTTAAATAATTTTTTTAACACTGAAACTGTTTTATGATTTTTCTCGATCGTGATTTATTTTTATTTATTATTTGTGCTCACCCATCAGATACACGAAGACATTGCGTTAGAGTGTTCTACAGCCGTCATTGAACTTTTAAACAGAAATGTTTCTCCAGAGACAGGTTAGTTCTATGGAGGGAGTTGGTTCTAAACATCGTGTTTGCCACCGAACTGCGCATTCCAAAATGTCTTTTTTAGCCAGTAGTTTATGACCAGTAGCTCGTTATGTTAGTGTTCAGTAATTAAAAAAAAGTGAGAGATACATTTCAAAATGGCATGCGTGAACAGCGTTTCGTCCATTTCTAAATATAGCAGGTAATTTAGTGTTAACAACTGGGTTGAAAACGTAAATTAGCCACCGTAAAGAGTAAAATAGCTGACGTTTCGAACGTTAGCCCTTCGTCAATCGCTCTGACGAAGGGCCAACGCTCGAAACGTCAGCTTTTTTACTCTTTACGGTGGCTAATTTACGTTTTCAACCCAGTTGTTAACACTAAATTACCTGCTATACTCTCCCACCGACGCAGCACCACAGTTTCTTTAGAAACTTACCCCTTTATTCATTTCTAAATATAGACTGAAAGAATGTTTTTGTGTGCCCCCTTTTTTTTATCTTCATTCTCGCCCCTGACAGATGTTTATTAAGTGTTGGGACTCACTAAAGCAAATCGCTGTTCGTTTTCAGAACATAATTGTCTGTACGCTTTAAGAAAATTCATGGATTACAATTCAGAGGTAACGTAAGAATGTTGCTGTTCTTAATGGTATATTAATTTTGTTGTCTCATTACATTTTTCAAATCCATTCATAGGTACATTTTTTACCTGAGAAAAAATATATATTTTTTTAATGTCAGGTGGCTGCCCTTGTAAGTGTTATGGGAGTAAATGTTGGCAAGTACAAAGGAAGATCCTCTGAAGTTGATGAACTTTGTAGAGATTTGGAAAAGTTACTCAGTTGATATCAGCCTGAGACATTGCGCACACAGATGATGAAAAAAAATCACATCTAAAATAAAATTTTAATTTCTGAGGAGAAATTTTAACCCGTTCGTAGGTGGGTTGAGAAATTATTGCTTCAGATGACGTCATATCTTCTTCGTAAACTCCGCCCGCAGCGTGGTCACACTAAATTTTGGTCGAATAATATTGCAGAGCTCGTAGAGCGTAGCACTATATCTACACCACCGCGTTGATCAGCGGATGATTCAACACAAAGTATGTATAAGAAAGTAAAGGAAAAGAAAACACGGAAAGTAAAAGTTCCAACTAGATCTTGGAACAAGGTTTCATTTTTAGTGACCTGTTCCGGAAATTCATTGGGGAAGTAGAAGTTGAGAACAGAACTTTGAGATTAAAAAGAAAAAAATATGTAGATTAAAACAAGTTATTACCTCGTCAGCTGAAAATCTTCAACATAGATTAGCTTGCAATTATTTGGCTGAGGCGAAGTGAATGTTGTGCACAAAATTCAACGAGCCTCAAGGCAGGTAATTGTCTTAATGAAATTTCAAAACGAAGCAAGTTTTACAAACAAAAAGTGTATATAAAAATATTTCTGCCTGTCATCATTCAAGAGAGCATGCCTTGACAGGAGTTTTCTTGGTAAATTGCTTTTACGGCGTGCTCGTTGATTATTTAAAGTTTTCAAATATTTTTAATGCTTTAAACTCAAGTAAGATGTCGAATTTCTTTACTCTGACATTTTCATGTTTGTTACTGAACGACTTGGAAATAAACGAACTATAGTTATTCTACAAGACTGGGAGTTTTCTTGTGAAACCTCGGCTCGTATGCTCAACACTGTGTCTTTCAACTAAGTGAGAAGGCCATTCGGAAACACATTTGGCTCTAGGTCATGACATGAGGGCCTAATATTTTCCTGTCTGTTCCGACCCAACTCAGTCAATAACCATTTATCATAAAGCTGTTGTTCTTTTTCTTTCCTCCTTTAATTTTTTTTGGTCCCAGCTCGCGGGTCAGTATGGCCTAGACTGGTCCTATTTATGCCATTGCTTAAGGCCCTCATACGGGGATTTTTGTGTAGTATTCCTCAATGAAAGCGCGCACTGTTAGGTGAGTGATGATAAACAGTCGTGTTCTCGAGCAAAGGAGTGTCCTTCTCATTAAGCCTTAGCTCATCTGTTCACTTCACAATCATTCAAATGGTCCAGCCTCCGTTCCCGAGTAATGAAACATTACTGGCATTGAGAAGATGGGAAGAGTATTGTGACCTAAAACATTTCAATTGCTTTATTCTGTTCTTAAAAACCATTTACCATTGATTAAAGAATTTCGACAAAGTATGACCTTCTTCTTTATGTTTCCTTGCATATCTTGCCCGGTCCTGTCAAGAGACAGGAATCGTCTACTTTTTATTTATTTTTACACGTTGTGAGAGCTGTTTTTATTTACAACGATCGGTCAACAGCTACAAAAATAAAACTTCTACACCTACACTTATTTTAATTGTTTACTTTATGTCTCTTGAATCGAGAATGTTTAGAAGTGCTTATTCAGACCGGCCATCAGAATGCGCTCAATTTAAACGGGCGAATAAGTCCTCAAATGCAAGAGCTTTCGGCAGGAAAGTTTAGCTCTGGCTGCAATGTTTTCAAACTGTTGTCCTGCAACAAAAGAAGGGCGTAAAGAAGTTCACTAATGAGGGAAAACCCGGCAACTCTTTTTGCCTTTAGTGTGTCAGTTAAAATTACATTCTCTGTCCAAATTATGTTTCTTTCGTTTGACGAAAGTCTATCACACATAGCTTTGCATTTGATAATCAGTTCCCTGGTTTTCGTCTTTTTTAGGACTATCTAGTTTGATTATTTCTGTGCCTTTCTCCACATTTAATACTGGAGATGCCCACCGAGCATCAGGTTTTGCTGGTTTACTCTCTGGTTTGGGTGACACGATGGACGTTTTAGGTTGCTTTTTGCGAGTCTTCCCTCTTGGGGATTCTGATTTGTGGTGAGGCTTTCTGAATTGTGATTTGTTATTCTTTCCCTCGTCCTCACTGCTTGATTGAGATGAAGGTGAACGAACAGATCCTTTTGATTTGGCGGATCTTTCAACCGGTTTAAACACTTTGCTGTGATCGTGATCGACCTCCATGTTACTATCATACAAGTCGCTGTCCTCGCTCATGACGTAGATGGGAGCCCGTGGAGACATCTGACCATCTAGCATTTTGCTGGGTTTGTCATTCTCGGGGCTTGACAGCTCAGACAGCGATGAATCTTCGATTTTATCCGAATTCTTTCCGATTGGTGGGAGTCGTATTGAAGCGAGGCTCTTGTTATGCTCAGGTTTTGTTTGATCGATCGCTGGAAGCCAATGACTGCTTCCACCTTCAGGTTGAACATGGCCAAAGGAACTTAAACTGCTATCGGAGCCATTCGACTGCCTTACAAAGCCAACGACTGGAACTACAACCATAGGGTTATTGTTCGATTCTGTTTTTCCTTTCGTACTGGAAGGAACCATGCGATACTCGTGATCTATGGAAGATTCTCCCTGAATATGTTTGGGATCCGAGACTCCATCCACTTGCATTGCCGACACATCATCTGACCCTTCTTTAGACGCTGTAGGACTTTCCTCCTTGGCATCCTCTAAGTGCTTCATCAGGACGGCTACCACTACGTTCAGAAGAACGAACTGTGTCGCCAGGACGAATATAGCGAAATAGATGGGAGCGATGTGTTCCAGTGCAGCGCAGCCTGGAGTGGGATTCAGTTCACAACGCTTCTTGTTAATTATATCCTGTTAAAAGAAAAAGGAAAGAAATCAAATTCATACTTCTTGGTGGCTAGATATTATCGGTCAAAAACAATTATAACAACAATAAGAGATTATTTAGCTTTTCCTTAGTTACTGTGAGCACGTTTCGTGATCGAACTCGACGCGACCGTAAGTTTGAAATTTTCCTGTAAAGGTATTTGAATATTTGCGAGCGCCTCTGGAACGACTTCTTACTATGAAAAAACGAAAATGACTTTGACGATAATGCTAATAAAACTGATAAATCTAATAGCAATGCCAACATAATGGTAACGATGAAGATGAACGAGACTATGTCACTAAACTGTTGGTAACATTTGTTTGATACCTTCAGAATTCCATTCCAGTTGTCTCCAGTTGACACTCGGAACAATGTCAACATTGAAAAACCAAAATCCTTGAAGTGAGCGTGATGATCCAGTCCCTCGCATGGTACTTCGTCCGTGCATGCTAGGTAGAAAGAGAAATGTTATTTGTGAGGCCCTGTTGTCCAAAGGATGGCTAAAGCTATCTATGGGATAAATCTCTATCCTGTGGATAGCCTAAGACGTGTTTTTAACTCTTATTTGCTAGATAGCTTTACACGCACTTCGATAAAAAAAATATGGGCCTGGTACAACAAGCTCCGTTATAAAGAAAAAAACAAAAACAAAACCAAAAAATTATGACAGCTTCGTTATGAAGTGAGAATCAACGAAAGCTTAATAGCCAATAAGAACAAAAGCCAATAGAGCAAGTTTCAGATGAGTGTCGTTAGTAAGATATGACATATAACTTAAGAAACAATTTTCAAAGCACAACATCAAAATGACAATAAACGACCGTTCAGAACGTACCCACTTGACCAAAGAGCTCCATTCCCAAAGCAGCAAAGATAAAAAACATTAGAAGGAAGAGAAGACCGAGGTTGCCAACCTGTATTGCGATTAAAAAAATGTCATAGTTTTTTAATTAGTGGATATTGCAACATTACACTGCAGGCGTATGCATAGTTGCTTACATTTCTTTTATGTAAAAACTTATCCAAAGTAGGAGAGAAGGATGACGGTGTAACCTCTACATGGCATGTAAGGTGATGATGATAAGCCAACTTAATATACACCGCTCTCCCAACCTCAAGTGACGTTACGAAATATATCAGCACCGGTTGCCGCTTGGTTGAAAATCTGAGCTAAGCTTATTTTAGCTGAGATCCAAAAGACTTTACTAAGAAAAAAACAACGATGAAAATATCACGAATAAGGCAGATTCCCGGGGTCAAATAAACGTGGAATTGACCGAAACTTAAATCGGCGAGGATACACACCAAGTATCCAGTCTTAAATCCCGTTGTGTTCTGACACAATGACGTATGCCTGTCACTCGATATTCACACAAAACACAACATTGTTTCAGTGCGCAGATGTTTAGTTTTAACGCTACTTACTTGCGGTAGGGCCTCGGCGACTGTATCCAGCAGTTTTCGGATTCCTTCAGCAGTCTTCAGTAGCTTCAGAACTGTAGTCAAAAAGTAACAGAGTAAGGAAACACATACACCATTCTGGCCCTGAGTTCTCTTGATCGAGAATTATCGTATACAAGACAACTACAGACAAATTTCTGAGCTCAAAAAAACATCAGTAGCAATAACAACAACTACAACAACATAGAGCCAAGGGAGTTGCGTGACAACAACAGCAACATGGAGCCAAGGGAGTTGCGTGACAACTAATACAACATAGAGCCAATGGAGTTACGTGAAATTCTAGGAATGTGAGCGGCATGCCGTGGGAGGGTGGATGGTACGTAAGGCACAAATAAGGCCACAACTGTGCTTACCCCGTGCAATTCTAAGCACTCTCATAACTCGGATGATAGTCGGGTTGATTGGCAGCTTAGATTTCATTTCTTCCAGGACAATTCCGACAATTGATAACAGAATGATAAGCAAGTCCAACTGGTTCCATCTGATGAGAAGAAACACAGTTTACATTCATACGCTTTTAAGAAAAAACTTAAAAACAAGAAAGTAAAAGCGCTGAAAATAACACTGATGAGTGATCATACCTTTCTTTGATGTACTTTTTGAATCCTAGAGCGTAAATCTTCACAACGCCTTCCACGATGAAAATGGCTGTGAATACGTAATTTGCGTATCGAAGAAACAATGTCATTTCCTGGAGGAAATCGAATAAAATAGGTTGAAGGAAACAAGTAACTAAATAAATGCCTAACGGCGCTATATTTATGCAACAAGTTGTAACGGCCACCCGGATGGGGGAGACTGATTTTTCGCAGAACTTGAGAGGCCGAGTTTGACAGAAAATTTTTTTGTATTTCCAAACTTTGGATCAAAGAGATTCTACGAGTTGGACAAAAGTGGTGTCACTTGAATTCTCGTTCTTGCCCTTTCACAAAACAAAACATTATTCTTTAGCGGTACATATTTGCATTCACAGATCATGGATGCTACAGAACTTCAAGGGCTTTAAATGAAAATCAGCTTCATTCCAGGATTCTGACAAGCTATTGCCATGAACAAGCGGCTGTCAGCCTCGACTGACTCCGCACAGATTGTCTCGTAAAGGTGAAGGAGAAATATGGACTCACATGCCGTTCAGTGAAACAAAACTATCCAGTTACAGTAAAAAAAGAAACTTCCTGATGAAAGCCCGACTCACTTCGGGTTGATTGTAATGCTCCATAGCCATACAAATAACATTCAGGAATATAACAGCCGAGATACCAAGGTCAAAGTAGCCATGAGTGCAAATTCGGTGAAAAAACCTTCGAGGTTGTGGAAAATCTTCCGCCTCATCCCTGTCAGCCTCTGTGGGAAAAAGTAGGCATAGATTGGTCAAGATTCAACTCTGAAATCAGCTCAAAAAGCCTGATGTTATCTACAGCTAAAGAAAAGATTTTCTTTTTAATAAGGCAATCATAAAAATGCCTGATTACAACATACCAGACTGAAGT